CAGCATGTCCAGGTACCTGGGTTTGATCTCCAAAGTTGCCAAGAAACCTCTCAGGACTCTCAGAATGGCTTTGTGGTTATTTAACATTTTGACATCATATATATTCTGACCCCCATACAACTAACCACTCCTATTTCCTAATTTTCCCCCAACATCAAGGCACCATTGCTTGAGGCATGAAGAAGATTCACTCCTAGCCAGTGCCCATCCTTTGAGATAAGGCTATCAGCAAACAAGAGAAAGACCCATCACATCAGTGAGTGCTGGTGAGCAATAGGGATGCTACCATTACTCACCAGCTACTGGACCAGTCCTGTTTCAGCTCTTCTCTCTGCTTCCTGTCAGCAATGCCTATATTATAATGTCTACCCTTTGCATATGACCTCAAGGTCTGCCTCAAATGGCTTACTTTCTTTTCTAAACCACCCTAGAGGTATTATGTTATCTTAATACCATGACCCGCAATTCAATGCTTTCTTGCCATTCTCTTAAAAAATTTAAGCTAGGCAGCGGAGGCATGTGCCTTTAAACCCAACGCTCAGGAGGCAGAGGCAGGTGGATCTCTGTGAGTTCAAGGCCAGCCTAGTCTACAGAGTGAGTTCCAGGACAGTAAGGGCTACACAGAGAAACCCTGTCTCAAAAAAACAAAACAAAAACATATATTTGTTTTAGTGTTTGTATGTCAGTGCGTGTAGGTCAGAGAAAAAATTTCAGGAGTAAGTTCTCTATTTCCACCACAGGGGTCCCAGGGATCTAACAGATTGTCAGGCTTGGCAGAAAGTGCCTTTACCTGTTGAGCCAACTTGCTGGCCTGGGTCTTTTAGAGGGAAATTCCTTGAGAAGACACCATCCTGACCCCAAGGGACATGTATGTAAACAAAACAATCGGGCTCTGAAACAGATCAAAGTGGTGAGAGTTGGTAGATCTCTAATCTACTTCTAACCCTCCCCAGTGTGAACTGGATTTCAAATTGCAGAGAACAGGAAGTCTTGTGGTTTTGTTTTTTTCCTTTTTTTTTTTAAAAAGACAGTCTTTCTCTGTGTAGTCTTAGCTATCCTGACAAGGTTGGCCTCAAACTCACGAAGATGCACCTGACTCTGCTTCCCATGTCGTTTTTGTTTTTAATTTCAAAAATCAAATACCTCAAATTATTTTTCAAAAAAATAAAAATTGTTCAAGCATGGTGGTCACACTTTGGAGGCAGAGGCAGGCCAGTCTGGTCTATATAATGAGTTCTAGGACAGCCAGGACTATGTAGAGACCCTGTCTTAAAAAACAACCAACGAACCAAACAACAATCTAAAATTAGGTACTTACAGCACTATCAAATTCAATGCTTGTAATTCCCGCGTTACTGCCAGTCAAGGAACCCTTGAATTCACATTTATCTGCATGAAGTAAAATAAAAAATTTAAGAGTTACATTAAATACATTAAAAGAGGGCAGTGAAGGAAAATGGATGGAGCTAGAAAACATTATTTGAGTGAGGTAACCCAGACACAGAAAGACAATTATCATATGTACTCACTCATAGGTGGTTTTTAAACATAAAGCAAAGAAAGCCAGCTTACAAACCACAATTCCAGAGAACTTAGACAACAATGAGGACACTATGAGAGACTTACATAGATCTAATCTACACAGGAAGTAGAAAGTAGAAAAAGACAAGATCTCCTGAGTAAATTGGGAGCATGGGGACCTTGGGGGAGGGTTGAAGGGGGAGTAGAGAGGCAGGGAGGAGAGCAGAGAAAAATGTAGAGCTCAATAAATATCAATAAAAAAAAATCAAAAAGGGGGAGCAGTGAAATACAAGGCAAGTCAATAATGACAGCGAACAGGAGCTTTCCTGCAGTTCTACAGAATCAGACAAGATAAACAGAAAACAGGGCATTCTGCTGCAATCTGAGCCCTGAAACAATGGAGATTCAGCAATGTCATATGCATGTTCCCAAGTTATCCTTTGGAGCACATGCAGGTCTTTCCATTAGTTCTCGGTGAAACTAACCACCAAATTTTTGTAATTTCCTGTTTTGGAAATCTTCATTTCATTATGGCCTGAAAACCTGTTGGACTCCATAGTTCTATCAATTCAGACAGCCTACTATGAACTCCTTCCTCCTGCACATACTCCTCCTTCACCACGTCTCCAGCCCCACTTCCACCTTCTAATCTCAGAGGTGTTTTAGTGATCAAAGAAAGTCAAACTGTGCTGTTGTTTGGTCAGCAGTTAGGCAAGTGCTCTACTGCTGAGCTACAATCTTTATAAGCACATCTGCCAGTATTTCCTTACGCTGAGCTCTAGTTTCTCACAACTTCAGTTTTTCCATCTTCCTAACCTAAGTCTCTGAGCAAAACTTCCCATTCTCACAGTTTCAGCAGACTAAGGGGTTTATCTGAGTCACTTTTCTGCTAACGGCAATTCAGGGAAGACAGGCACAATGCTTTCCAGAAATCAAAGGTTTCACTAACTACTTGCTCAAACATCAAAAGCAGTAACCCACACCTTTCTCTCTGCTCTAGAGGCTAGAGAAGTCTTCAACAATAAGAGCATGGGATTTTGCCACAGAGAAGCCATAGCAGAACCATGAGTTCCAGGCTAGCCTGCAAATACAGTGAGACTGTCTCAAAAACAAAGAGCATGAATTTCAAGTCATGTGCTCTCAATTAGCCCTGACTCTACTACTCATATATTAAACAAATTAAAATATAATTCAAAATAAAGCAAAAAGTCACTCAGATGTCACCAGAGTTTCCTTATAAGGACATACATAATGGGCTCTTACCTCCGAATGCTTCCCAAAGTTTAACCCTCCGGTCCATGCCTCCAGTGGCCAGTAACCGGGAACCTGGACTGAACTGCACTGCATTGACTTCCCCATCATGTGCATCCTGCAAGACAGTACCTTGTTTCAAAGCCCAATAATTATCATCCCCCAGGAGCCTAAGGCACACATATATACTCCAACTGCCTAACCGTAGGCCAAACAATCTCCAAAAGAGCTGGATTCAACTATGAACTCTGAGTAGACTCCACACCCAAAATCTCCTAAGATTCTAGTTCATTTTATTCTTAACAGCTGCAGTAGCATAAATAAATCCATTCATTTGGATATTATACTATCTCACTGTGTAGTCCAGGTCAACCTGAACTACACTTGTAATCTTCTTGCCTTAGCCTCCTAAGCTAAGGGTTACAGGAGTCTGCTACCATGTTTGGTTTGTACTCACTTAAACAAAAAGTATTCAGAGTAAGCCAGGTATGGTGACACACACCTCTAATTCCAGCCCTCAGAAGGCAGACAGACTGCCAGAAGTTCAAAGCCAGACAGTAAATACAATGATACATCCCTACAAAAATACTCAAAATTAATGTATATTGCGTAAACTTTGCCTTTGCATTATCTTATTCCTAAGAATCATAATCTGACTTTTAATTTTCCTTGCTTAAAAGTATATGGAGAGATGAATTGCTATTTTCTTTAACATCTATTTTTATTTATGAATGTTTGTGTATGTGTGGGTGCCTGTGGGAACCAGAAGAAGGCATCAGATCCCTTGAAGTGACAGGTGGTTATGAGCTGTCAGACTGATGCAGGGAGCTGGGAACCAAATTCAAGTCCCCTAGAAAAGCAGCAAAGCACATGTAACTGCTGAGACATCTCTCCAGTTTCCGAATTGCCTCTTCTGTGACAGACACTAGATTTTCTCTTATTACTAATATTAAATGCTATGTACCTAGTAACATACAACACTCTAAAGAAGGTTTCTGGGGGCGGGGTATATGTGCAGTTGTGTATGGGATTTATTGTTCTGCTTTAATACCTTGAGACAAGACTTTTTACTGAACTAGAAGCTAGGCTGGCAGTCAGCAAGATCCTGCAATTTTCTGTTCTCCACTCTCAGTATTGTGGTTACAGGGACAAAGCCATTCAGCTTTTAGATGGGTTCTATGGATATGAACACAGGCCCTCAAAGATTGCAGCAAGTGCTCTCACCCACTAAGAGAAGTTTTCTTGGCCAGTCCTAATACTGTAAGTTTGTGTAGTTCACTCTGGAAACATGGCACCAGTTCATTAACAGTGTGATGTTCATTAAGTGTTTAACTTCCCGTAGCTTCAGTTTGGGTTTTTAATCAGAAATATATGACTCAAACTATTTTTGAAAACTGAATAAACTATCAATAAAAGTGTTATTTTGAAAGAATTAAAAGTTCTTTGTAGGCAAATTCCTTTCTGGATCAGGCTGACCCTTAACTCATAGACTTGCAGCTTCTGCTTCCTGAATGCCAGGCTTAAAAGCAGTGCCACTGTGCCTGGCCTTTCCACAGGAAATTCTAAGATTTGTAGATGGAGACTGCACTTACATTTCCCAGCCACCCTGACTCAAATAATCACACAGAAATTATATTAATGACAGCACTATTTGGTCAATGGCCCAGGCGTATTTCTAGCTAGCTAAATTAACCCATTTCTATTAGTCTGTGCATCACCATGATGTTGTGGCTTGCTAGGAAGGCTCTTGCATCTTTCTCCTTCAGCAGCTACATGGCATCTCTCTGACTTTGCCTACTCTCTATATAGATCTGTTTGTACTTCCTGCCTGGCTTTATTCTGCTAAGCCATTGGTCAAAACGGCTTTATGCATTAACCAGTAAAAGCAACACATATACGGAAGGACTTCCCACCTCAAAGATTAGTATGGATGCGCATTCATGTTCAGAGTAAGAACAGGTAAAATCATCCCATGTAAAATGGAAGAAAAGAGTAAGAGATGGTGTTGCTATGCTCTCCCTCAACACGACAGTAGACAGAGAACTACTTAAGAACAAAGCTGATGTCTAGGTCTTGCTTCAAGTCCAGCAAAGTCTGGGGAGGCAGCATCTCCCTAACTGCCTGGGACACAATCAGCACTTTCCCTCATGTCCAGCTGGTGGAAATCCAGTAGGTGATAGGCTTTTCACCTCATAAAATTCTCCTTTTTAAGAACCATTTGTTTCCGAGGTCTCAGATTGAAAACTTGAGATCATGCACTATCACATCCATCCTGCCACTCATCAAGACTCCTGTATGATGGGTTCTGTTGGACAGCAGTCAGCTGTGAACCACTCACTCTTGGAACACACACTGACAGAATCCTAAATTATCAGCTGCCCCACTCTCCCACGCACGACCTCAATGTGCTAGGGGGGGGGGGGGGGGAAGGGGCTGCTGGGAGTAGAGTGCAAGGAAGGAGCTGTGACATTCAGTGCAATCAGACCTTTTACCAATCATCATTGACCTCTGGAAGGTGCTCAGCCCAATATGGAATCACGGGAGTGGGTGCCGTTACCCTGCCCAACTCCTCCTCCAAAGCAGGGCTCATTCTCAACCCCTGAGGCTCAGTCAGCTCACTGAATAGCAATGCCTGCCTGCCAATGATGATCTCCTGAATGTGCTCAACTGAAAGCTCTATCACCCAGGTGCCACGCCATTTCTACAGCACTAACCAAAGTAGGCTGTTTGAGCCACATGTCCCTCCCAAACCACCTAACCAATTCCAGGGCACTGCGAGTCATGATGCCTCTCTGCCTCCCCACTTCTGAAAGTTATGAGCAAGGTAGACCACACTTCCTCAGGTTAGACCAATTTCTTCTGTTCTATGGCTCAATTGAAACTAAGATTAATTGCTACTGCCAGAACTCAACTTAGAATCCTAGGTACTACTTTGGTTTCTGTCCAGTGCTATGTCCTGCTTCCAATAACAAGCTCTGAGTGGTTGGAAGTCATCCAGATACAATTTGATTTAGAAGACAAACACATCTGCCCTTATTATTTTTGAGTTTTATATGTGTATGCTTGGGTGTTTTGTCTGCATGAATGTTTGTGCACCATGTATATGACTGGTGATGTGGGCATCAGAAGAGCATTGGGGCCCCATGGAACAAATTACAGAAAGATATAAGCTGCCATGTGGGTGCTAGAAACCAAACTCAGGTCTTCTGGGAGAATAGTTAGTTTTCTTAGCCACTGAGTCTTCTTTCTAGCTCCCCACGTTTTAATCTGAGCCATTGCTCTAGTACCTCTGAAAGACACAAGTCTCCATCAGGAATTTCACCTTAAGCTGCAGCTAACCAGTTAAAAACAACTGTACAAATTACACTGGTTTCTCTTGCTTCATTGCTCAAGGCACCAATCCTTTCAGTCGGTCCCAGGGTACACAGGATGTCTTTAACAAATTCTGTATGCTGAAAGCTAAACACAACATACCTTAATTCCCCATAGGTCACAAAGTCAGCTGGTCTAAGTCAACAGTGGAAAGTCTAGATGCAGACCCAAGGACCCTTTAATTCCAGATCCTGCTACTATCCCAGGCTCAGAGGAGTCTGGGTACAAGGCATACTTACAAAGACATACATGGCAGTAGTTGGGACTCTCACATCTTTACCGGAAGCAGGATGAGTGTCCACATTATCCTGAGGGGCTGGGATGGAAGAGACAGAGCGTCTCCTAAGGAATAACACAAAAAGCAAACATTATACAGGACTGTTTAGGATTAGTGTCTACCAAACTGCTAAACAGACCTCAAGAACGACCCTACTTAAGCAGTGTGCTGTGTTAATAGCTGTTGTCTTTCTAGACCCTCCAAAATCCAGGATTCATATCATCTTACTCATATGTCAGGAGTTAGCACACACCTTACTTTTCTGTTTGCTAATTCATGGGCTTCAAAACCCAACACTGACACAATCTTGAACCAAAGTTGCTTGCCCTGTCAGTAAATGTTGGGAAAACATTTTCTCTAACATAGTAGCTGGCTTGGAGGCGAACCTCCGACACTCTGACACACACTTTAGAGCTGAATTCCATGCCTAGTACAACAACCCTCAGCTTTTATAACTGTGGTCAAGGCAGAGTCAAATGCATGCTAAGAGAAATGGCGTCAAGAGCATGATGACTGCAGAGAGCTCAACCTGACTGCCCAGCTCAAGGGCTCCAGCATTCATTCCGAGGAACATGCAAAGCGCCCTGGTTAGCGTGTGGACATCGATGATTGCGGGCAGCGCAGCGTGGTCAGCACGATTATCAATAACCCACACTCACATGCTGGGCTGAGAGAGGGTAATATTTTCACCTGGCAGCATCAGAAGAAGAATGATGTCCCAAAAGGGGAGATTCGGACAGACTAAAGGGAAAGGCCATAGATCAGCTCACAGCAAGATAAAGAGAAAGGAAGTTGCAGAAAAGAGAAAGAAGCTAATGACAAGCTGAATTAAGGCATCCACGTTCTTGGCACTGCTGAAATTCTGGTGTATATTAAAAATAATACATCACATACATATGCTTAGGTATATTCACACATTTTTAAAAGGAAAGGTGAAAGACTTCTAACCTACCCAAAGATATTAGTGATAGAATCCAGAAGGCCTCCAGCAGGCTGCGAGAGTCGCTTACTAAAGAGGAGGGGAGGATAGGTTTAAACCTTAGAAACATTTTGCCCCCAAATCAAAACAGCCCCTAAAAACAAGTACCTGGGAATACACTTTCCATTCCCAAATCCCAGCCAAGACAAAATCAATACAGCATTTGAACCATCAGGAAATAGTAAGAAGGCAGAAGGGAAAACCCAGTCTACAGTCTTAAAAGAAACAAGGTTCCCTAAGAAATTCCCTGACAAGGGATCTGTCTAATTTACCAAAAACTTCAGGGTGTTAAATTTCCATCCATTCTTTCAGCCCTACTTTAGCAAATTAAAAAAAAAAACAAAACCAAAACCCTACAATATATATATCCTTGTGTCCTAAGATCTGAATGATTGCAGTGAATAATGAAATTTAACGGTTCACCCATCTTTCGGGAGGTTGGTGCACCTGTTTCTGTCACAAATGCCAGGCCACCTGTCCGCCTTCCTCCCACTCTCCTCTCTGTGTGGTAGAAGAGGCTTGGGGACTCTGGGTACATCTGATTACGTTTTCCTCTCATGTCCACAAACTGGCAGTCACACTAAAGCTGGAGCTCGCCTTTTTCCCACCCAGCCGGTCCACTCACGTAGCTGCTCTGCTGATGGCTCGCACAGGAGAGGTCTCTTCAGTGTGATCTGAGGTCTCATCCACAATGACTTCAATGTCATCATCCCTAGAAAGAAATGAGAGTCTGTCATTGTCCTGAACAGGAGCTCTGCAAGGGCCAGTACCACACTGTAGAGATGAACTCTTCCTGAGTCTTGGCTGCAAAGTGATAGTGAAGGAGAAAAGGGAACTACATCATGTTTGAGAAACATAAACCATTTTACCTATTCAAAACCAATAAAGCCAATCAAGAATAATTTCCCAAAAACAAAGCCTAAACACATGTACTTCTAATGGCTGGAGGGTCTGCACACTTCCTGTGCCATCATCTGAATTCGGAACATGCTCCTTTTGTTGTTCATGCCAGCGGATGCAGGCCCCTCTGGTTTCCTTTCTACACATTCTTACAGGCCAAGTCTTCCCTGATTGTGAAGAAGGCAAGTCATAATCTTGGTCTTAATGATTTGCTGTGTTGCAATCTTCATGGAAAAAAACACCTTAAAATATTAAGAGCTCACCACCCACTGTTTGGATTCTTAAGATTTTGAAAACAAGATTTTTTTTTCCCTTTTCTGTGATTATCTAGATTATGAGCATATATACTTAAGAACCTGTTACACCAAGCAAGTAAAACCATGACTAAGTAAATTTATTTTCCCTTATTTACTCTGGGATTACATTTAACTGCTTTATACTCTTGGTAGGGGTATGGTGAGAATAAGAAGAACAAGGCTATGCCTGATTTTCTACTTGGCTGGCCTTCCCAGACCTAGAGTTTGAGAGTCACAGGAGAAAAATAGCAGGAGGAACAATATGAACTGAGCTTACAGTGATACTCCGTGATAGAGTCTCATGGTTCTATAGTGACTGGAATTGTATAAGGGCCACACCCCAGAAAATACCAGGTTTTGCCTCCCCGTTCTAGAAATGTAAGTATCTCTGACCTAAACTGTTACATTCCTGTGGAGTAGATAGATTGGGAGAATCTCTACAGCAAGCTCTCTCAGGTTTACATTTCAGCACAGCTTTCCATGTGGAATCCTGGGAAGGATGCCGGATCCTTCTTAATCATGCCACCTGGTTATACTAGCAAATGAGGCAAACACATGGTACTTCCTTTTTTTTCTTTTTTTCCTTTTTAAAGGAACCAAATCTCATTTTTAGGCCACCTACTTATCTACTACTTTGTGGGTTTGAAAAAAAAAAAAGGCATCAAGACCAGTTTTCTCCATTGAGGTCAGGAGATACACACATTTCATATTCTCTCCTAGAGTAAAAATTTAGCATAACTCTCCTTTCCTTTAGGGGAAGGTGTATGGGTTCAAGTTTAAACAGCTCCTCTCCACTTAAAAATGTATTTGTGTGTGAGTATTTGGATTGCATGGATGTATGTATCATGCTGGGTACCTGGGAGGTCAGAAGAGGGCACTGGATCCCGTGGAACTGGAGATATACAGATGGCTGTGAGCTACCATGTGAGTGCTGGGAACTGAACCAGGTCCTCAGCAAGGGCAACAAGTGCTTTAAACTGCTGAGCCTCTCTCAGCCCCAGGAATCAATGCACATTTAAGTAACAGTAGGTCATAATTCTGGAGCTAACATAGCCCAGCAGGAAACCCACCCTGAATCAGAGCAGAGAGGACTGTTACTGAAATCCCACCATTTACCACGGGACTGCCAATACCAGGCACTTCATTTTCATTAGCAGGTGGAGCATGGAGGGCTGACTGGATTTAATTGCTTTTTGTGAAGAGATTTCTGACCTCACTAATGCCTCAAAAATTGGGTAAACGTCCATAAGGTCACAGACTCAGATAGTAAAACTGAAACCACAGCCCAGATTACATGACGACAGGTCTCGTGAGGAAGGCCAGTGACCCAAGAGTCTACAGGAAATAGTAAGGTGGCTCTGTGTGAAGGAAGTTAGTCATAATCAGCTGATTACTGTCAACAAGAAACACTTCTGGGAAAGTAACCTGGTGATGTATCTGAAATCTTAGGTCAACAGAGTATTATTTTAAAAAATTCATCTCAAGTAACTGATTTGAAATATGGTCAAAGGCCATTTCAATATACTATTTCTAAGTACAATGGAACACCACCAGCATCAAAGTAACAGAAGTGGTTGTGCGCATCTTACTGTCTAGTGGTGATAATGTATTCTTATTTTGTGCCTTTCATTTTTTAACCTGGGCTGGGACTGCAGCTTCTATCCCCAGTACCTTCCCGTAATA